TGGGAATGTTACTATCTAGCTTACAATAAATTGATTTCGCAACTACTTTGAATACACTGCGGAGAGACCGCGTGATAAAATCATAATCTATTCAATATTGCATTGGTGTGAAATTTATGCAAGTCATGTTTCATGTGAAAAAAACGATGTGTCATAATGTTTGATATACTATTTATGATCTGTGACCCCAAAGAAAAAACTAGATCTCGGCTGTATCGGTATTGTTTTCATAGGACCCTCCGCGACAACAATCGCAAAAAAATGACTTGCACAAACTTGAAAACACGCACAGCGGGATTCGGATCTCGTTAAAATTGTTTTGCAACCTACGCTCAATCAGTATGTAACCAGAGACGATTGAGCCACAACCTTACTGCTACTGGATCTCGTCACAAGAAACACCGGTTCTATCAGGGAAGAGACAATGCATAGCATGCTGTCTTTCGACCTCGTTTGCCGAATTTTGATCAACTTCCCTACTCGTATTTGGTTGGGACTTTCGGAAGCAAAGCGATTTATTCGCCACGAAATGCACATTGCGTGTGTTAACTTGTTTGTACTATCGAGACAAGATGCCCATTCTCTTCAATTTTATAAATATTTTTGAATTTCTCAAATCAAACTGAAAATAGAGATTTCTATTCAATTACATCAAATCATGGTGAAACTGGTTGGTTGGACTCAACTGCCATTGACATTTATAAAATAAATAGTTATAAACATTGAAAAGAATTGTTTTTCAGTTGTTTGTGTGTGTCGAGTAGCGTTTTTTTTTTTAATTAAAACACTTAATACATGAAATTATGTATCTCCTGGGACAGCTCGTTTGTGGTTGGTTATTATCACTGTGTAAATTATTGTTTTTCGTTTACAAAACCCGTCAAGTTCTAATTTGACAACTTTATATTTTCAACGTGTCTCGGATAACAATTTAGTTAGCCGAGCATACGCGTATCGCGTTCGATTATGTTTGAAATAAACATCACGATTCGGTACAGCACGATTGAAGTGATGCGATTTGTTACTGAATCGAAATGGCACATTCATGCCGTTTAAAGTTTCATCCAATTTTAAACACACTAATTAGACTAATGGGTCTTAGGCAAAAATGTTACGCGCTCGTGGCGTGTCTTTAGTTTCGCTATTGTTTTTCTACAATATGTTAACAAGCGCTCTGGAGCGCCATTCAACGAGTCTAAACAAGTCGATCAACACCTTACAACCGTCTCAAAAAGTGGGTCGGGGATTTTGAAAACCAGTGTTTAGCGGTACCTACCAGTTCTCTAACACGTGAAACAGAATCGCGGGTGTTGGGTTTATAGTTCCATGGTTCACCGAACTAAACTACGATCAACAACGTTGTGTTATTAAAGAAAACAAAAACACGCTGAAGCGTGACGTCACCACGTGTTTACGTTCAAGGATGTAACCTTAATGAGGAAGTTAATGATACGGAACATTCTTTGCTGCTTGAACTTTCACCGATTAACGTTAATCGGAGATTATCATTTAAAGTAATTTGGTTCAAAACATTTGTTTTGGGTATTTATAACCAAAATGATAACTACTGTAACAGTGGTTCTAATGACATTTCCACATATTTCTCTTGTTTCCCCCTAATCCCGTCTTCAGTTCCTAGTGGTTAGTTTGTTAGTCTTCGTCGTACACCGGCGATACATGTCCGTGCTTTAACATCCCCCGGAAAACCCCCTCTCAGGGAGTACACATCACAGTGACATCCGTCGACTCATTCATTTTAGGCATTTAGGATTCATATTTTCGGGTGCACTTTCTCAAAAGAACTTGCCCCCTTTCACCTAAATACTATTATCACGTGGTGGAAATAAGGTCAAAAAACCACCGTATGTAGATGTTGTCCTGGTTGCATGAAAAACGGAGGCCGTCACGGTGATCCTTACCTCTCACGAATCCCACGTGTTGACAAACAAACGAATTCTGTCACATAATAGGTCGTTCACCCGGATGCATTGACCCTCTGAAAAACAATTCCATTGAACGTTTGGCATTGATGCGAGGTATTACAGTGTTGACATAAAGCGTATATATACTCGAATGATAATGAGGGACGCACCAGTTTAAGGGGGTGGTGCAAAAATATTCCCGATAATAATAATTTCTTCAGTCACTATAACATTTAAAGTATAAAAAAATGTTTGACAATTTAATGGCCCACGAGGTCCATTTTAGTAATTTGTTTTCGAATGTTGTCATTTACGTGATACTATACCAATAAAAATACATACATGCACGAGGTAATATGTCGGGATGCTCATATCGTAACCACGTGTAAACAACCGAACGCGTAGATAGCCGGAAATCGACATTTCATTCGAACGCAAAGGTATTTGCAAAGTACTCTGGTTAAGAACAAAACGCCAATTGGCATCACGTATTGCACATTTTGATGTATTTTAGGCTCTTTTTTTTTACAAGGAAACGAAACAAATTGACAGGAAAGGCCAAGCTGTTATTACCAAGGCGTAGTATGCCGTAGCAACCCGAACCCACGGATGTACATTTTTTTATGATCGTAGATCTGTTTTGAAAATACCTCCCTTAAATTTCTTTGCTCTACAAGCCTTTTCATCGGACGTCCCCTTTTTGAAATCAATATTTGTTTTCGATGTATGCTTTGGGTACACATTTCTTTGCCATGTTGTTGACTGGGCCCCTAGATCAAAATTTCAGACGCGCCCAGTAACCAGCTCGATGCCAATGTGAGCTGCTGCTCGCGTACTAAATTCGAATACTAAAGATCCTTAGCCTGGTGGACAACCGATAATGGCTGGCAAATGTGATATAAACGAGGTTGTAGTGACCCGTACATAACTCTTTCAATAAAATACCCAATTAAATAACCCTTGTTGTGGTAAAACATTTGTTCACTCCCACACTGATAGTTTTGCGCCGTACAATCATGGAACTATAAACCATAGTTTATAGTTCCATGGTACAATCTACCAGAACGCTGTGAAGTCCCAGGGTTCCTACTTCTAAACGGTATTTGTTTTAACGACCAGTGGTGCATTAAAAATTAACCACAGAGCACAGTGTATATGTTTCAAGCTGATAATTGTCAATGTAGCGATGTGCATTGAACAGAGCTGGGAATCGGGCGAATGTGGCATTGTGGTTTACCAAGAGATTCTCGCCATACTCATGGCATGATAGCAATGTTGAATCACAGTGCCTCGTGACTGAATGCAACGCCGTGGCAAACACATATGTGTATATATATATAACAACCTTTATTGATATCGTATCCCTTCTGGGATATAGATTAGAATACAATAAGGATATAAGGAACAATAAAATACATAAGTAATAATAATAATAAAAAAGAAATAAATATGTGTGTGTATGTGGGCGGGGTGGGGGTTCCCGACTATTCGCCCACTGCACTGCCCACACGTTTTCCATCGTATCACAGTTTTACTGCAGATAAAGCGGGGCGTTGACTTGCCGTAAATTATGTTTTATATATATACCCTATACATATATGCGACAGTTCTTATGAGGTCGAAGTGACGCTCGCGTGTAGGGTATGTGTCCTTTGTAGCTTACCCGTTTGCGCTACGACGGAGGAAAATACAGTGTGACCTAGACTTGCTTGCAGTATCTTGATTATTTTTTGGTGTTTTTTTCCAATAAAATATGTGAGTGTATATATATGGCGAACGCTGAATTACCGCGAAATAAACAATTTGCTCTTTAGGTCACAGTACATCGCATACGAAGGTACATGTACAGCGGTATGCACCCCCCAATTACCCGAAGTGTGTTTGGTTATATATTAATTTTTAATAAATATATTCTTATAATTATCATGGTTATTTTCGTGTCACAACTGCCACTCCACATGCACTCACTTGTTCGACAGGACGAGGTGACCTTGCCTGCTTTCCGTTCTCAAGACAAGTGTTTCGCGGGACGGAGCAGCGTGAAATACCGTACATGCATTCCATGATCAACGCCGCATCACCAATATTGTTGTCAGAACAGTTTGCCGACCGCAATGTTTGCACAGTTAATGTAATCGTATATACATTCCAGTACAACACAACTACGGTCTCGGTTTGTCAACCACAGCATGTGTGCACGGGCCGGCCCTCCCTGCACACCGCTTGTATGTTTGCGCGTGAATTTAGGGGTCTGTGCGAATTTGTGTTGACCCAAATCGCCCGGATGAGGGCGAAGGTTGCTTGTGATTGTCACATGACTTCCTTACCTGCGATACTGATTGATTTATTGAAATTCACACGTGCGTTCTTTGTATATCGACTGCCAATCAAGTCGGTGACAACGATAACAGAGCTGAACCGAAAATGCTGGACGTTGGAAATCCACAACTATCTCACTTAGGCACACACAAAACAAAACCAAAAAAACAACAACACAAAACAAAACAACCAACCCGATACGTCGATGGGTTGACATAATTTGTGAAGCATGCCACCACATGCCTTAATTTCTACACGGAAAAAAAAAATAGGTGACCCCTTTTTCCTGAACTCCATGATGTCAACTTTTATTGTTACGTTTGAAAAGCAAAACGAGATGGGAATTTCGATAGAATCTGCCGGGGACTGGTATGTGTGCTTACGCACACGCGAATATCAGCTTCAACATTTTTTGTCGTAGTGGCAACGCAACGCATACTTCTACCGGTATCGTCATTTATCTCGGAGTCCTTTCTCCCCATGTAATCTCAAAATAAACCTTATGCATTGAACAGTGAAAGTTTGGCGCCTCAACTCGGTGGATATTGACAGATTCCTCTAGGCAGTGTTCATTTCTCCTTCTTTTTTTTTAAAGTGGTAAACATCTTAAATCAACCGAGTCGCGCCCCGATTGGTCGGCACAGAAAGTGATTGACAGTTACGGAATGCGGCTCATAGAAAAGTGGGTCTGAATGGCAGCGTCATAAACACGGCCGGGTATATAAGGCCGGACGAAAACAACATTCAAATCAGATTAGAGTGCCTGTGAGATCGTGCGATACAGTCGTAACCTAACGCTGCTGTACACGTAAAGCCCCTATCAACCGAGTCTTTAAAGCAGTTTACCGCATTCGTGCAACAAAGTACTCGTTAATTGTAACCGCGGATAAAGTGATCGACAATGAAGATGCGGGTTATTTTACTTATTGCTTTCCTCTTTGGACTGTTGACAATAATCACTGCAGGTTAGTTACACATTTTTTTGGAACATCACTCCTGGAAAGAATCATCCAGAGTGTAGAGATATTTTTTTTCCAACCGCGTAGTAAATTGCACGACACGTGTCACCTTGTTGTTTCTGTACTGATAACGTATGTCGTTCTTTTTAACCGAAGGATATCCTTTGAATTGTTCCAACCCTTGTGTTACAAGGTTGTCTTTTTACACGACCTGGGTGTGTGCGGCGACTTTTTTTTACGATGTCCGTACTTTTGGTTGTTACTCTCCCTGGATACGGTGCGCGGTGTGCTCTACTACGGGGTCTGAAACAATGACAGATCGCCAGCCTCTCGTATATATGCGTCAAAATACAGCGATAAAGAAAACAACGTTGACACATTTTTGCGGTTAGACAATTTACTGCCGCTTGAGTAAATCATTTGTAGGCCGATTACATTTTGGTGTGTACTGGCTGTTCCAGTTTTTCAATTTAATGACAGTGTCACGCGATCGGCATTGCGGTGGACATGCGCCGCAGTCTTTTTTTTATTTTAAAGTACGTAAACTTTGTATGAGGATATCTAATGAATGTGTTTTCATAACTCTTTATAGTGAAATTAGACGAAACTGAAGATGCCGAAGAGACGCTAGAGGATTTGGAAGAGGAGATCTTCGAAGAGGTTGTAGCCAGGGAGACGGGCCGTGTTGACCGCACGTTCACGCCGAAAAAGTGCTGCAAAATCGGCCGCCGGGTAGCGACGAAATCACTTTACTGTAACATTGACTTGTACCAAGTTGAAAAAAAGAACAACATGGCTCACCGAAGGAAGATGAAGTTCCACGGACCCGTGCCCGAGGGAGATTCTTCCTACAAGAACCTGATGGTGAAGGTGGAGAAATGCTACCCAAGCAAATCCACGCGATCAATGTTCACCAAATGTTGCGAGTATCAATCACGCATCATGCGGGACCTCGAAGATTGCCGAAAGATAACGGATTCTGTCGAGCGCCGCCGCTGCCGAAAGCAGGTTAATGGAAGAGCGTGAGAAGATCACGTGTTTGCCATGTGACAATATTAACTTTGCTCTGATACGATGGACAGAGTATGACACTGCAGCTCACAGAGTTCGGCCGGCACAACGACACAAGTATGACAAGTTCGTCACGGCCGTCACTCAGTCACGCCACGGCGTGTCGATGTTGTCGTGATTTGAAGACACTATTAGCACAATTGAGTTGAAAATTGTATTTTACTATCACGACTGAGCTCTTCTTTGGGTTCCTGTTTACTAATAGACTCTTAAAAAAAACTTTGTTGATAATTATGAGAAATATCATCATGATGTTTAATTTCCCCCACCCGAGAGTATTCGTAAATAATTTGAATATCTAGCCGTATACTAGTGGTTCTATAGTTGTCTACACATTATGTCATATAGAACGGTCCACCTCCCCGACAAATTAGTTTTTATTAAACCCCGTTTCCATAGCAACGCCTTATGAAACTCAGCACACTTTTTTTCCAGAGTCGGAGTGTCACTCGATATACGCTCGATGTCGCCGCACCCGTAACCCGTGACAACCGACGAAAAAGTCTGTGCCTCGTATAAAACTTGTATTGATATTTTTTTTTATTTCATGAAAACATTTTAATATATATAAATGCTAAGTTTGTTGATGTTTTTTTTTTAAAAAAATGGTGGTACACTGCCATAGTTTAATAAAAAAAAAAGAATAAAAAAACAGTGAGGATAAACAATCTAAGTAATCATTACTTGGTACTGTATGTTAATTTCTAAATTACCCATGACCACCAAGTACATTAGATCGTAGAATCTTGTTGCTACGCAAAAAATACATGAAAAAAACACGTACGATGAATGCCATCGTTAAGACTGACGTCATTTTTCGCAACAAAGCCGGGAATCGAACGGTCTTTGCTATTTATTGTTACCCAGGTATTGTTCGGAATCCCTTTATCGTAGTTGAAAACTCCAAACTCACTGAAGCGAGCATGGTCACGTATAAGACCCCCTGTGCAGTTTGAGGTTTTCTCTTTGATACTGTGATCCTCTCTGACAACTTTTCTTGGCACGACCAAGCTTGCTCCACCATTGTTGTAGCCAGTTTCAAACTAAATTATCGCTGCTCACTTGTTTTTAACTTAATATAGAAAGTTTACATTTCTATGAATATATTTGTACAAAAAACAATAATTGTTCTATTCATTAAAACTTTGTTTAAAACAAACTGAACATGTATTTTATAGTCGTGTGGGTGTGTGTGTATGGGGGGGGGGTGACAGCTTCTACCATGCTATTACGTCATCAAACTCACTCCCGTGCCTTTCAGTTCAGAATGAGAAACTACTTCAGCGGTCAACTTGTTGACCTTTTTGATCGATTGATCGCAAAGTGCTTTTTTCAGGTATGCATGTCTTTTCAAACAGACCACTTTATAAGTTCCCCGGTTTCCACAGAGTCGGGGAAGAATGCAAATCCCCTCCCCGACGAATGATGGCCTCTGAATAGATATACTGGTAAACACGCGACTGTAAATACATGTACATTACATCAGTGGTTGTGGTGAGTTTTATGACAGAAAACACAAGTGAAGATAAATCAACGCCGGTATCGAGGAGAGAATGATATTCGACAGAGTAGCTACCGAGTCCATCCCGTCTGCAGTGAAAACTAGTTTCGTACAAAAAAAAAAACACACACAAAAAAACACAAGAACCTCTGACATTTGGGCGCATGTGTGAATATGTGCTCACAATTTTTGACATCTGTTAAGTTTCAGAAAAAAAAAGTTATCAATAACTGTGCGATGCATTCCTTCACGTCTCTTGGATTGGTGACTTTGAAATTCACACTCGTACAAGTCGCAAGTTATACTTGAAGACTACAGCACCTGTGATAAGTGAATCTATAAGCGCGTTCACTGTCCCAAATCAGTAAAAGTTGAACCATGGAGCTCCATGGTTGAACAGTCAGTGGCGGTGGTACCGTGGGGGCAGTGGGGGCGTCGCCCCCACGATACAATAAGGTGAAACACTCATCTATATTTGTCACTAAAATCCACCGCAAATGTCGGTAGAAATGCACACCGTGCGGCCCAACGTAGGAGAAATATTACCTAAGTGTGCCATCAAAATTTGCTCCCAAAATGCAGCAAGGAAACAGCGTGTCAGAGGGTCTAGATTTCAAAATTTTCACGGGGGAGCATGCCCCCGGACCCCCCAAGAAAGGTCGCGCATTCACGTAAAATCTTTGCCCCCATAGTAAAAAAAAAAACTGACGCCGCCTCTGACAGTATATCGAAAATGCCGACGGAGTCGTTAGAATTTGATCGGCTCGTGGTCTTGATGGTTGGTCTATGCGCCGGGGTTTGTGGTTGGGGCGTGGCCGGCAAAAAGACGCCTTGCCAATACTTCTCATGACTCAACAATCGTTACAAAAACGTGTGACCGCGGTATTTTTTTAAGGATCGATAACATACACAAAATTAACGGTTTGTCTTGCAACACCATGGAAACAACATTAAAAACAAAGGCGGACACGTTGCCCGATGCACAAACCTTCGAATGAACATTTAGTTTAAATGCAATGCTGGATGTCCACGTGGTTTGTGGTCTGTATGACAAAATGGCTTTTGAAAGATTACGCGGCCGGTTGGCCGGTTTTGAGCTATTTGTTTATATGTCCGAAAATACGTCTGCTTTTGATGGGAGGTAATGTAAGTACACATGTTACAAAACAAGAGAAAGCCTGTCTCAATTTTGTCTTTAATTATTGCGGTGAACAACGACTGGAGACAACTCGGTCAACAGAAGCCGAGTCGTTCGATACGGCACGTACTGTTTATGTGCCGGTGAATCCGAAGATGAGGGGTCAGCCCAAAATGAATCAAATGACCGACCTCGTACTTTAGTGAGTGTGTACAGAATGGGGATCCAGTGCTATTATCTGGTGTGAAAGCAAAAAACGTTTGTTTGTTATCGGTAAAGCATTTTAGGGGGACGCGCAGAAATGTCTGGTATTTCATTTTTTGTGAGCAGTGTGCGACCCGGATGTGGGTGTCATGAAAAGGCACGGGCAAGGTGTAAAGAAAAGGTGTGGTTGTCGTCTGTCGCCTTTTTCGTCCGCGTCGTCATTTTGTTTTAATGGTGTGGGCAGTTTTCCCCGTCCCAATTAGCGTCCAATAAATTTGAATAAGTTGTTGATTGCTTACAATCATTCGTTTGAATACTTTCGGATGGTGCGAATTGCTCGCGAAAACTAATCAAAACACAGGCGAGTTGAAATAAATTAATTCACCCACTTTTCTCACCAGATTCCCTCGCCAAACACCGCCACGATCAACCCAAGGCGTCCACAACACCTATCAGAAGTTGGTCGATTGGCTCCCCAATTACGAGATTTCGCCATAAAAAATATAGGTTTCTGAGATTTAGGTCCTTATCCCACTTTCTTCCCTGAAAGATAGACAGTACTGAGATCGGTCAATGCTCAATGCTCAAACTTAAACATTTCTTTGACATATCTTTATAAATGCTATGTTCATTATTCCTTTTTATTAGAAACTGACATTGTTGTATACTCATTCAAGTACGACACTTTGAAAACAAAACAAAACAAGATAAAGCCGTATTTTGAATTGGTTTACAAGTTGTCAAAGGACATTGGCGGTAAAAAAAAAAAGTGTTAACGGTGGGACAATAAATATTTTCCAGACAGCGTGAGACGATAATTATTTAACTTTTCCAGGTGTGACCGCATCCGACGACGGATGTGACACCTCGTAAAGTTGTCCGACCAACCATGTAGCTAAAATAGAACCAATCCAATCCAACTAGCGATTATTTGTGTGTATGATTTTGTTTCGGTTTTGCCAGTAGTGTTCATCAAAGTCGCGACCACGTGGATCTTATCGACGTCCCTTAAAGGACGTACACATATGCATCAGCCCACGTCGAACGTTGAAAACGTTCCGGCGGTAAAGTTCTTAACTGGCATTCTGAAGTTAAATAAAAATTGTCACATTCCCGTAGTGTTCAAATAAATTCTAGTGCCCAGACTATCTTAAGGCGTGGAATCGCGAAGAAAACCCACGCATCGGGACAATGAGAGAGAAAACAATTACGGTAACCGCAAACAACGTGAAGATGGTACGATGGGAACCGGTAGCATGGGTGGAATGGTTCTAAAAACTCGTGGGATAGTGGCTTTGTTTTCATTGAATTGAGAATCGACGATAGAATAAATGTTCACAAAGTGGTGAACGTCACTGGATTCCTGACATCACCACGTAACAATTCCTCCCACCCACGTACCGGTCATCTAAGTAAACCTCGACGGTATTCATACGTGGACACATCTCGCTTCGTTCATAGATCGCGTCATCGGAAACTTTGTCGCACTAAGTGCTGTCAATCAACTGACAATTGGAATTCGTTTCAATGTCATTAAAATAGAAATCGCCTTTCTTTACGTGTTTAAAGTAGCTGTTTCGCTTTCTACGTACTAAAAATAAAACCAACAACAATTGACTATTGAATCGCCACAATACGTGTGTTTGAACAGATTTAGCTTTAATCATGGTAATCTTTTCTATAATTCACAGATCACCATGGTCAGTCTGTACACAGTCCATCTATCCTATATTATATAAAGGGAATATGGTCTGTATAATGGAGCAGCAAGTTTTCTGCAATGGAGCAAGTTTTCGACAAACCATAGTCCGTCTATAAATAGAAAGACCGTGGACAAACCTATGAGCGCGTTCACATGCGAATTCCTCTACACTGTACCAGTACCGTACCAATTATAAAGCCCGATTTCCAGGCACTGTCCTACGCGTACTGCGTACAACCATGCCTGTTATACTGCCCTCGACGGTATTATTTCATTCAGTGACAAGCGATTCGATGGACGTCCGAGGCTGAGTCACAGTTGCGCGGCGGCAAGAGAGCTTGAGTCCAGTCCCGTACTGAGCTTTGGTTCTGTATAGTGGTCTGACACGTTTTGTATAATCGGTAACCTGGCCCGTCTGGCTAATAACTTTTGATCAGAAATGGGTAACAATGATTGCCGCCATCATATTAAACCAGGCTGACACAGGCCCGGGGAAATGTTTTACATAAGTAATGTTTTATTTTTGTACAATCATTCTGTCATAGAACTGAATGGTTTCCATTATAGTCCAATACATGCGACTTTCTCTGGACTGGAATGTCTAATGGAGGAATTATGCCTTTGTTTTTCAAATAGCGTAACTGAAATTAAATATATATATATATGGGATATATGTGTCTCATATATACAAAGATGGCGACTTTGATTGCTGCGCAGATCAACGAGTACAAACTGAGGCATTACCAAGCTTTAATTAGGTATTTTATTAGGTGTTTAGAAGGTATCGAAGGAGTCACGAGCGGTAATTAGTGCCAGTCGCTCACAGGCTAAACCTCACAGTTGTGATTTACATTAGAAGAGCGCATTGGATTATGAGAAAATCAATGTTTATCAACACAAATGTCGCACATGCGCAGCGTGACGACTGCCGTCCTTTAAGCAATTTACGTCCATTGATTGTTGCGCAGATCGCAAGAACGCGAAAGTTTTTCTTGTCTCTTATTTGTGAATGCCTGATACCTATTTCTTGATGAGAAAATTGTTATTTATTTGTTATATATATGATTACTACAAATAAACAGTTTGAAAACCACTAGACCAAGAAATGTTACTATCTGATGATGATGGACATTTCGAGGCTGTTACTCAACAAATCTAATAATCTGTGTTTAATGGTAACAAAATACCTTGGTTGTGGACGCATTCAGAATGCTAATTCATAATAATTTGTTTCCCTGATTTTGTTTGCATTTTTGTATTATTTTCCAACCTTTCCAGAGTAAAATTAACTGGTAGGTCATGCTGAGTTAAATATGCATTTTTCATCCGCAAAGTTTAAATATTTATTTTATATTAACAAAAAGTTGACAGATATGCATAGTTTACAAAATATGTTGAACAAACTGGGATTATTCATGTAGTACACATATGTTAGTTTAGTGTCCATCAGACAAAGTCGGAAACAAAATTATGAGCTCAGTTCATTTCCGTTCGAAGCCACTTCTCGGATAAGCCCTGACCGATAGCTTGCGAAATTGTTACAAAGACAAGACATATTGGTATACACGGGCATTTGTGGGTTTTTTTTCGTTGATGTTTGACCCGAATTGACCA